AAAAAACTTACGAGTGCATTTTCCACAAGAATTTCTTGATATCCAACATTCATGATCTCCTGCATCAATATGTACTTCTCTTTTAACAGACTCGGACGAATAATCGATTATAACATTACTCATCTTTGTAAATTCAAAAAGATTATTGATTGGATTCAGATCTTAACTCCGGTTATACATACTGTACATAGGTTGTACGATTTTCTAAATGAGGCACTGAATTTTGATTCGTACAGTATTATGTTTACCGAAATGCCACTGGAAAATATTTTAAAGTGTGCATACTTGGATTTTCTAGAATCGTCCTGACGGATCATTGGGAATATGTTGAATAGATCGATTAGATTATTAACGTTAAATACTCATTTAAATATATATTATACAAATTTTTGTCGTTTAAATGCAATAACGAAAAGTTGACATTATATCTAGTTTTGTAAAATTTAATATACTATGTTAATATTGAAAACTGGTAATGATTACGTATTCTTTTCCCGAAAGTTCTCATGAATCTCATTCTTTCCTTGTAACCGATATATTTTTTTGGTTTTATAACAAGGCAAACTATAAAGATAATGCAACGATAGGTGCGTAAAGATAATCTCAGAAGAGTTTCTATTCGTTCTAAGAATTGATATTTCTTAATTTTGAAAACCATGAAATTAGTTGAAACAATTAAACTTTTTGCGATTTAATAATAATACTGACTAAATATACTACAGTAAATATCACTGTTTTAATTCGCCTTTATTTTATGACAAGTGGTTTAGAAATTCCCAACAAAGTATTTATCAGTAATACATTGATTATTTAAAGTATAGCGATTAACAGAAATTTTATAATTTAAATGCGCCTATTTGACCTATTATTGAGTTCAAGCAATAAAACATACACAGCTGAATATAAAAAATCCGAATTACACAAAATTTCAAAATTTGAAATTTTAATTTCGTGAACTTAGGTTACGTAAAAGTTAAATGTATAATATATATAAGTTGACTTTTCAATTTTATAAAATGAATTCAACAGAATTTATTCATTATAAGTAAAAAAATTCCTATAAATCCTTTATTAAATAATATTACGCAACAATAATTTGGATTCTGAAATAGTTATGCTAAACTTTTAACGTGATTTCTCTTATGTTAATGTAAAAATATTTAATTAAAAAAAGATACTGATTAAGTCTTAAGTATTTTTTAAATCCACATAAAAATTATTCGGCATTAATAATATTTACATTAATAAATAAACCAGTGCCACACTTACCTAAGTTGAGAAAATTAAGTTAAGCCGATGGAAACGTGATGACTGATCATTTTTGCAAAACATTTTTATAATCAATTTAAATATATGATGAAGTTCTATGTTATAATTAGTCAATGGTTGACTATAGGAAATATGTAAGAACGATATCTTGATTAATTTAATTACCAAGTAAAATTTAGGAGAGTTGGCAGGAAAATCAGCATTATGCAAAAATCACTACACTGAAATGTATAAAATAGAAAGCGATAAAAAAATATCATGGATGGGATCAATGGATATCCATGATCGTATTTAAATAATTCGTTGAATTGTCGCGACTACAAACTTTATCTTTATGCATACAGTAGTTGGTTTTTCCAAACGGCATTTCAATTTTCTTTTAGAAACTTGTACAACCTATTACTATATGTATTATGTAGAGTTAGGATTACGTCAATCTGAATTCAGTCAATCTTCTTTTGAATTTATAAAGATGAGTTATGTTATAATCGATTCTTCGTCCGAGTCTGTTAAAAGAGAATTACATATTGATGCAGGAGATCATGAATGTTGGTTTGAACGTGCGTGTGGAGAATGCACTCGTAAGTTTTTTCGGGAAAAACCTTCGAATTGACAAGTGGTAATTCAGAAATTGATAAAATAATTCGAGAATCTCAGAAAAGTGCAAATAATGTAGATTATATTCTTGAGTGGATACCATTTGAACAATTTTATGATATAAGAGAGATAGACAAAGGTGCATTCAGCATAGTGTATTTAGCATATTGGATGGATGGGCCGTTGTTTAAGAAAGCTTTTCCGGATAAAGTTTCTTTAAAAAAAAATGAAAAAAGATTTAGAATATTTTATCGGGAAGGTCATATAAAAGTAATGTTGAAAAAGCTTAAAAAGTCACAAGATATTTCAGTAGAGTTCATTAACGAAGTAAGCATTATAATCTAATTATTTACAAATTTTTTAAAAGAATGTTATTAATTTTTTTTAAACTAAAATATAGTTAAAAGTTCACCACAAACTTTATTGTAAAGATTTACTAAAGAGTGTTATTCGTCTATTTGGAATATCTAAAGATCCTAGGAATGGAGAATTTTATATGGTTTTAGAATATTGTGAGCATGGAAACATGAGACGGTATTTAAAATCAAATTCCAATAGTTATAATTTATTATGGATGAATATAATTCGTTATATCAAGAATATTTTTGATAGTTTAAGTTGTATACACAAGGAAGGGTTCACTCACAATGACTTACATGGCGGCAATTTGTTGTTTACTAATCCTGGCTATGGATTTGACCTAAAAATTGCAGATCTTGGACTAAGTGGACCAGCAAATCAAACAAGTAAGAGTAAAGGAAAAGATGTATATGGAGTAATACCTTATGTTGCGCCAGAAGTCTTAAAGGGCAAGCATATACTCCAGCGGCTAATATCTATAGTATGGGAATATCATGTGGGGATTCTCATCTGGATATCCACCTTATCACGATACACCTCATGATTTGGATCTTATTCTTAAAATTGTTAACGGACATCGACCAGAAATTGTTAAAGGAACACCAAAATTGTGGGTAAAGTTAATGGAGCTTTGTTGGAACGCAGACGTTTTCAAAAGGCCTACTGCTATACATATGCATAGGATTTTAAATAAAGTATATGGTCTTGTATTTAAAAATGCAAAAGAGTATATACTAAAAACTAACTTGGAGTTAAAAGATCTTTGTGGATACTCATCTCTTGACGAATTTGCGGAAGATGTATGGGAATTCAAACTCAAAATGTTTGACATAAGCTGTCAAGAAATAAATAATAAAATGGAAGTACACCCAAAGGCGATCTATACAAGTCAAATAATATCTGATCTTACGAAAAACATTCAATGGGAGTCAAATGGGTTAGCTCGAGGTACGGTACTGTAATCATATATTTTTTTTATTATATTAATTTTATAGATATTGAATTTTTTTTTTTATAAATAATAGGTTAAAAATCGATTTCTAGGTTTTTTTTTTCTTGAAAAAGTCTATATTTTAAGATGGAATCTCGGATGTGTGTTTTATGAACAGAATTTATCATGACTAACATTAAGATACCTTCATGATATTTGTATACAGTAGGTTAGTTATACAGTATAGTTATTCGATATTTTATTCTATTAAACATCTTACATTGGCGATTATGTGACTCAATCATCACAAAATTAGTCTCTTATGTTTATATAAAGGAAATGAATTTTTTATTTATTATAATATCTATATTAATATTACAATTAATAAATACAACTTTATAAACATTATGTTTGGAAAAGGTGATTTGAAATATTTTTAACAAGCTATTTTGTTCATTATTACTGAAGGAAATATAAAATAAAGCAAATTATAATATAGTTTATGTATACTTACTTAAAAAGTAGATAATAAATAAATATATAATTATTATAATTGGACTCTTTATTGATTTTTGTATTATTACTTTAAAGCATTATTTAGCAATCCTCACATGATTTGAACTTAATATAATCTATATATTTTTCTTAAATTATCTTATTAAATATATTTAAAAACTTTTCACTTTAATTTTTTGTTTTTATTTTATTTAATTTTTGCTTTTTGATTAAAATAATATTTTACTTTAAAAATTTACAAAAATTTAGAATCTTTTATAACAATAGTAATATGTTTAAAAAGAAAAACTATCATTTTAATTTTTTTTTTTTTATAATAAATATATTTCATTTTTATTAGGTTTTAAAAAAACTTCAATTTTTTTATATACAATATATGTAATAAAAAAATTTCATTTATTTTAATTTGATTTTAAATTTTAAGTTAATATTAAGTTAATCAAAAATTAATCAACAATTAATCAATTAAAATTTTAAATTAAATAATAATTATATATTATATATATTATATAAACAAAACAAATAAAACAAAAAATATATTTCTATTATAAAAATTTATTATTTTGGTTTTTTTAATAAATATTAATTTTTTAATTAAATTGTATATTATTAAAATATAAAATAAAATATATATTTATATTTATATTTTAATATAGTAGAACCTGTCTATAATCAATCTGTATATAAGAATATATAATAAAAAGTCTTTTATAATCATATTTTTATTCTGGCTCAAGTTAATATAAATTATATTAAAATTATATTAAATCAAACCTGTACATAAGAATAACTTGTATATAAGAATATTTTTTAAAAAAATTACTATTAGCCTGACAGCATAACTATAGACAAGTTCTACTGTATATATAAATTAAAAAAAAACTTTTACTATTTTATTGTTGATTTTTTGAAAATTTCTTTTTATAATAATTTTTTTTAAAAAAACATTTCTCTTTCTCTATTTTTTAAGAATATATTATAAGCTTAAAAACAATAAATTTAAATCTCATTTTTGCATTGGAATAAAATCTCTGATCAAGTGGTAAACAGATTCAAAAATTCTTTAATATTATTATCTAAGACTATGCTATAAAGTATTAGTTATCAGTTATATCCAACACTTATTAAGATTGCTCCAAATAATGACATTTGCTATAACTTGTTTCTAGCTATATTAGGTATAGAGGCTAATTTACTGAACAAAAGTAATTCTTTATTGAACCAGTAGTATACATTTTTACTAGTAATCGAACAGCTTTATTTCTAACTGAAGGAAATTAAGAAAAAGTTGAAAAGGAGCACTATAGGTAATATTTATAGTGAATAAAGCTACATAATTACTGCTTGCTCCATCGAGAATAAATCCCTTTATCACCACCTGCAGCTGGGCTAACCATTTAATTTTTTACCTGTCCAATAATATCCAAGAACATTCAAGATACTTATAACTGATGCTTACCATCTGAACACTGACTTATATATTGCAGGAAGCAGGACTTATAGCCAGAAGCCTTCTCAGGATAAGTACCACTAGACTGGTTTATTACTGAATTGGAATGAAACTAAAACAGGGATCTGTGTGAAAGACACCAAATATTAGGGAAGAATTATCAAACCTACTCATTGAAAGTGGACATCTTATACACCTTGCAACTTTCGGTGATCATTGTAACACCATCCAGATAATCGTCATGTCACAACACCTTTTCTGGAAATCACAATCTCAATGCTTACTGGATCAGCATATAAAACAGCTTCTCATAAGAAATAATACTTTTTAATAGGCTTATGGTGCCAGATACCATATTAATTCTATTCAACCACCCTCACATAGAATTAAACTGGTATCTTATGATTTGACCTATAGAGTATTAACCACTACACTATAGACCCACGGGTCTATTTAAATATTGTTATATATCGTTTCTACCTCAGGAGAAAGATAAAGATGGAGAACTAGTGGCAGGGAGGCACTTTAGATGGACAGGACCAATGTGGTATGCTAAAGTTCCTAGAGGCGTACAAATTAGTACAGTTCT